TAACAAAAATACCCTTTGTTGTTTGTACACAAATGGTCCTTTTTCTCTCTCTCTTTCTCTCTCTTTTTTTTTTCTCTCTCTCTCTCTATTTATCTTTCTATCTCTCTCTCTCTCTATCTGTCACACACACACACACATCCACCATCATCATCATTGGTGACCTAGATAATGTTTTCATTCCTCAACCCAGAATTATAGAACACTTACGAAAAATTTATCAAACAAAATTCGAACACTTGCATTAATATTTTTTTGTTGTTTGGAATCGGAGAACGCAATAGTATAATCACCGAAAAGATTGAACACCAGAATCAACAACACCCTGTTGGATTTTTGTTTGCTATTTGTTAACGGATTTCTCCGTGGTGGTGATGGAGGCTCGATTGAATCCCCTGTTGGTTTTCGACTTGGCGTGCCCGGTATCAGCAGCACCTGAACGGCCGAACCCTTCTTCTTTCTTGTATCTCCTGGATCGAACTAGTTTTTTCGTCTTTACGCTCTATCTAAACTTGGTTTTCTACATTGCAATAATGAAAGATGAATTTCAAGTCGTGTGGCACATCTGACTGCCCCTGTTTACAAGGAACTCGTGTGTTTTTCTTGTTTCTTCTCACTCTTAATTCCATTGTTTTTCTTAATCCACTTTTAGGGCTTTTTTTGGTACTACAAACAAATTTGGAAAAGATCATTCAGGACCTAAAAGTTAATAATCCTTTTGGACATTTTTTTGTTGTTGTAGGTGGTTTATGAGTGAGTTGAGTTACCAATAAAGTAATTTTTTAGTAAATTGTCCCATAAAATATTCCATGTATGATTCTTGAATCCTGATTACCCATTGAGTTATCTCTTTTGCATCAAAACTGTATAATGGAAGAAGGAATAACTATTCACGAAGGGACTTGGGAAATCATGTGTATGCATCTGATGAAGTTAGGGACACAGGAGGGGATGTAGAGACGATGAGCAGTCAACAAATTGGTCAAAATTTTCAACAATCCGAGAATCTATATATGGGATTAAATGAATTTGGCAACTAGATTTCTGGGGTTTCCTTCTCCGGTGGAGATGATAAGATGAGAGAGAGAGAGAGAGAGAGAAAGATATATATATATATATATATATATATATATATATATATATATGGTTTATATATATATATATATATATATATATATATATATATATATATATATATATATATATATATAGAGAGAGAGAGAGAGAGAGAGAGAGAGGATACAGTGGGTGGGCCCCACTTTTTTTAAATTAACAAAATATAAAAATATAAAAACAAATGACATTTTCGTCTTTTCACACATACTTAACAGAATCTTTTAACAAAGTTAGTAATAAGGGTCTTTTGTGTGCAATGTTTGCTTCGTAGGGACCATTTGAGGGAAAAAGTTTCGTAAGGACCATTTTAGGGAAAAACTCTAAAGCTATAGGAGTATTCGTGTAAATTACTCTTTTATGAATTTTATATGGATTCTAAGTGCTCTATGTACAAATCATCGAAGGAAATCCAATATGGAAGTCATAAATGTTGTTTCATGGTTTAAAAGCGCATTTTGCACTACATCTGAGGCACATTGGATTTTAGTTTACAGTTGCATGCTCTGAGCACCGTTGATCTACTGTCGTGGTCATCCAAACTTCATCCTATCGTTTCTTGCTCTAGCGTTGACGTGAAATACCATAGGAGTTGTTAATGTCATTGTTGAAACATGTTGGATACTAAACATTCTTTTTGAATTTCACACACCTCTTGACAAGGCAATCACTATGTATTGTGACAATTATGAGTGGAGTTTACTTGTTTAACAACCTTGTGCAACATCAAAAGACAAAACACATAGAAATCGACATCCATTTTGTTTGTGACAAAATTGCGACATACCAATTATGTGTTCTGCACTTCTACATGTCCTTCCACACTACAATATGCCAACATATTCATGAAAGGACCCTTACTTCTATATTGTTCAGATAAAGTTTAAAAGTTCAAACCTCCTAACCAAGCTGCAAAGATATATTAGTGTACATACATTATTACTACACGATTTAGGCCCATTATACTAGATGTATATTCCTAATTAACCTCATACTTAGCCCACTGTATTATGTTTTATGTATCATGGGTGAACCAAAATACCAGTGGTGCCAAATCGAACACTAACGAACCCTATACTTTGGTTCGGTGTTTTGTTTAATTCAGTTTTGGTATTTTCAGTTCGGTTTCAGTTTGGTCCTGTTTCGGTAATTTTTTTTACTTCTAATTTCTAATTAAACCTACTTTCCCGAACCAAACCGGTAACGTACCCTGTACTAGGCATGCACAAACCGGTTTTTTTTCTGAACCGGACCGGTTCAGAAAACCGGTTCGATTCTGGTCAACTTAGTCAAAACCGGTTCACCCTGAAACCGGTTCGGTTCTAAACCGGTCCAGCCTCAAAATAATCCGAACATATGTAAACCGGTTCGGTTCTCTAGAAACCGGTTCAAAAAAACCGGTTCAAAAAACCGGTCCAAAAACTGTTTCTTAAACCGGTTCAAAAAGGGTTCAAAACCGGTTCGACGGAAAAAAGGTTTTTTTCAATTTTTTTTTGCTTTTAGGCTAATAACTGAAAAATAGGAATGGTTTTTTTTTTTTTTTTGAATCTATTGCTTTTATTGTGTTTAACAAAAAAAAAAGGGGGTCTCACAGTAGGTTTTTTGGAAATGGGGGTGAATTGGGAAGGCTTAGGCTTTTGGTAATACACACACATACACACTAACACACGTCCATATATATGCCAAAAGGTTTTTTTTTTTAATTTTTTTTTGTTTCTTGCTTAATAATATACATATCTTTTGATGTATTTTTTTTTTTTTGGTTTTAGATTTGATGTTTGTGTATATGTATAAAAACATAATGTATGTACAAAATTGTTCAACTTGAATCAACACATTTTTTGGAGCAATTTTCAACTTTTTTTTCATTTTTTTTTTGTTTTTTTATATTGGAAATACATAATACAACTTTAAACATAAAAACACAAAACATCCAAATTGTCAAACTAATACATCTTCAAATATAAAACATTGTTGTCGTCGTAGTCTTCAATCCAAGTCCGTAGTCATTGTATTTATTCGTCATCCGCCATGTCGTTGCGTAATCCTCTCTCATACTCGATCTCTTCTAGGGTGAGTGCCACCGACATTCCCATCGCTACTTCTTCCTCATGTACTCGTTGTTCGACATGCAACGATGTGCCTTCTAGTAGTTCAATGTCTTGTATCCTTTCCACGCCATCAAGGTAGCATTTCAAGCAAATGCACACTTCCACCGACAAAGGGGTTAGTTTTGTTCTTCTTGGTGATATTACCCTGCCACTAACAGAAAAAGCCGATTCCGAAGCTACCGTAGAAGCTTGGGAGCTTAGTAGATCACGGGCCATAGCGGCTAGAATCGGAAATCGGGTTTCCTTTCCTTTCCACCAAGCCAAAATATCAAAACTTTCAAACTCTTTCCTTCAAGTTTATAAGTTTTGATCACACAATCTAAATTTTTAAATAAATTTCTACCGGTGTGCGGGTACTCAAACAATTCAAACGTAATCGTACGCTTCATCATTACCCAATTAGTTGGATTAATCCAATGAGCGGTAACACAAAGGTACGCATCAGGTGAACCGTGAGGAGCCGTCCAAACATCACAAGTTAAATTCACACCGGTTTCTAAAGATTGAAATCCTAAAATCATTTCATTTTTTGCAAGTTTCCACATTTCAATACAATCACGTCTAATAGAAGTACGACTCACATGGCAATATCGTGGTTGGAGAGTATCTTGGATAAGTGAAGTCAATCGTTTGTTGTCGAAGTGGTCAAAAGGCAAACATTCTTGAATCACGAACTTCGCCATCCTATCCCGAACTTTACCCAAATCGTAACTCCACAATGTTGCATCATTCGTCATTGTTGTTTGATTATGTCCCGACCCAAATTTCACCGCGGGGCATCTTTTGGTCATATGAGTTTTCAATGTCGAATTCCCATCTTCATTAAAAAAAGCACCACATTTCTTGCATCGCGCTCTTTTTGTACCGTTCGACATTACACACAAATCATAGTTGCACCAAATAGCTGGATTTCTATTTGTTTCTTTGATGCTAACAACGGTAGGATTGTTTGATGAATCTCCAATACCAATGGAAGCCGAATCCATTGTTTGAATTAAGAGGGTTTTTTGAACTAAGAGAGGTTTTTTGAGGAATTGTTAAGGTAAAGTGGAGACCTAAACATCTAATACATATATATATTATAAGGAATGGTTAATATGGTCAAAAAAGAGCCAAAATCGGGTCCTTATCAGCCTCAAACGGCTATATAGCCGTTAGGAAAAGACAAAAAACGGTAACTCTCGAAAACCGGTTCAGCAAACCGGTTCATCACCGGTTCAGCAAACCGGATAAAAAAAAACCGGTTCCAAACCGGTCTCAAGGGTAAAAAATTGGTCGGATCCGAATTGGTCGGATCCGGTGGTTCGGTTCATATGCGATTCGGTTCTTAAGTGAACCGGTTTAGGCCTAAACCGGTTTCCGGTTCAGCGACCGGTTCGGTTCCTGAACCGGTTTTTTTGCACACGCCTACCCTGTACTACAGTTCGGTATTTAGTTTTTACTTTTGTGCCAATTCAGTTTGGTAACATTTCGGTCGATTTTGGTATTTACGGTTTGGTATTTTTTCAGTTCGATTCTGGTACTGAGCTCATGGTTAGTATGTATTATCGATTAATGGTAATGATCAATTCATGTCAATTATCGAAGTTAATAAATACTATATAAGATAAGAAATTACTTTTCATTTTTAATTATAGAATCTGAATTAATCATAAGAAATGTGATATTCAATTTTTTTTTAATCATAGCATTCACCGTACTTTTAAATATAAATATATGTAAAAGGAAAAGTTTGTACCTAACCACCATTGTTTCAAAGCACTCAAGATGCACACCTAGTCACCTACATCAATGGCACCATTTGTTAAATTACAGAAACACCCTAATAATTAACCGTTGACTCGACATTTTCATTCATAACGAAAACAAATATACTTCTTCTATACCAATCCCCACCACTAACTAAAAAGGAAGAAACAAACTCATTAAGCCCCAAAATGAAAAATTAAATAAAAAAAAACTCCAAAAGAGAAAAATTCTATTAACATTCGATAGTCCCTTTTTGTGATGGCGGTGGAGGTTTAGCATCACCATTAACCACCGTTCTAACACCATTTTCCGGCGACTTCCTCTTTGGCTTAGCTTCTTGCAACATTGACACTACATCCCTCATCGAAGGCCGGTCAACTGGATTTCTACTCGTACATAACAATGCCACCCTTAGCAATAACATCATTTCTTCTCGTACTGAGCCACACGACGCCCCTGCATTTTGATCCAGTACGTCTTTGGTCCCTTCTTTTGTTTTAATTTTTGACCTTACCCAATCCACAATGCTATTCCCGTCCCCGAATTCAGAATTCACTGACGTCTTTCCACTAATAATTTCCAATAACACGACTCCAAAGCTGTATATGTCACTTTTTTCATCGACTTGCAAAGTGTATGCATATTCTGTACAAAATCAAATCATCAATGTGTATTAATTCTAAAACAATATACAACTCAAATTGTACAACCCTTTAAAAAAAATACTATTTTTAATGAAGCGCATTGAAGTTTTAAGAGATACAAATTAAAACCCTCCTCAAAACATTTTTTTGTCCCTCGTTTATAAAAAAAAATACTATATTTTATTTAAAAGTCGTGAACTAATAAATACTCCAAAAAATGTCGACCGCATTGTCAATGAGTTTGACATCTAGGGAGATGAAGCAGAAGCACCAACCAACGTTGGATCTTGACAAAATCTAGTGGGGGTCCATGATAGCAAAAAAGTACACATCTAAAAGAAAAAGGTACTTCACGCGCATAGTGCGCACAACAAACTTCAAACAGTTGCATTGTAGGCGCCAAAATTATAAAGTTTACAACCTAGTCCTTTATGTTTGATGGCTTTTCACTTTCTTAAAAGAACGATTTATGAAGTAACTTAAAACTATAGGGTTTATATTGAACATATACAGAACTCAGCAGTTAGCACGTCACCCCTACTCAACGAACTAAATCACCATAAAAAAGACATGCAAAATAACGTGATGCATCATTAAGTTGTACGCTAACATGTGGTGTTTTGATACATTGTACAAGTCAACGATGCAATATATTAGTATTTTGGTTTGTTAGCGTACAATAATGATTGCACGATGTATAAGTTATTCAAAAAGAAATACGTGATACCTGGTGCAATGTAGCCGTATGACCCAGCAATAACCGACATTGATTCTTCGAATTGGATGAGCTTTGCGACACCAAAGTCGGCCACCCGGGCTTCCATCTCGCCGTCCAATAGGATATTGCTCGGCTTCAAATCACGGTGGACAATCACCGGATCACAGTCGTGGTGGAGGTAGCAAATACCCTGCGCCACCCCTAGTGCTATCTTGTAACGGGTGACCCAATCCGCCATTAAATTGTCACCTTTGTTCTTCCCATGGAGGAGATCATCTAAGCTTCCATTGGGCATGTATTCGTAGAGCAGCATCGTGCACTCCCTGTTGGTGCAGTACCCAAGTAATCTCACGATATTCCGGTGCCTCACGTTGCCCAATACGTCCACCTCCGCCAACACCCCTCGCCGGCGTCTGATCGTCTCTTTGTTTTTCCCCCAAAGCTTCTTAACGGCTATGATCTCGCCACTTGGCATTTCGGCTTTGTAAACGGTCCCAGTGCCCCCCATCCCGAGGATCTTATCCGTCATTGACAAACACTCCACCACATCATCGGCGGTGAAGTTCAACCGTTGGAAGGCGGTTAGTTTCCACGGTCCAATCTCTCTTTCTTCTACAACGAAGCGACGCCGGTAATTTGCGCGGAAGCATCGGCTTCCGGCTATGAGGATGAACAGGCCTACACCAAATGCCGCCGCTACTATCCACACGATAGCTCCGCCAGTCTTCTTCGGTTGCTGTGGCTTTATCTCAGTTTCACTTTCAGTACCACATGGTTTCTGGAGTACTCCACCGCATAGTCCTTCGTTTCCGGTGAAAGAAGAAGGATGTATGCTCGAAAATGCAGGTCCGAAGGAAGGCACTGGCCCTGTGAGCTGATTGTAGGAAACGTTGAAACCTTCTAATGTACTGCAGTTACCGAAAGTGGAAGGAATCGTACCAGTAAGAAAATTGTGAGAAACATCCACTTCTGTTATCGAAGGTAGAGTTGAAATCTCCCATGGAATGATGCCTGTCAATGAATTATGTCTTAAATTCAATGTAATTAACTTCATACAGTGACCAATATCCCAAGGAATGCTACCACTCAACTCATTCCCTGCGATTTCTATCTTATAGAAGTTGTAACAGCCTTGAAACTTGGGGATTCCCCCTGTAAGCTTACTTGAACTCGCTGAAAATATCTGTAAACTACGAGCACTCCAGATATTTTCCGGCAAACCACTATCAAATGAATTTCCTGAAATGTTTAGATACTCTAGTTTAGCTGCATCGGCTAAATCTGCTGGAATTGGTCCTGTGAAACTGTTGTCACTCATCTCCATGAACGTAATATTGGGCAAACTTCCAAATCCAATCGGAATTGAGCCGTTGAGTCTATTATTTTGGACGCGGAACCTTAATAACGACGTGCAGTTAGCTAAAGAAGACGGAAGAGAACCAGAAAACTTGTTGGAAAAGAGGATGAGTTTTACTAGCTTGTTGCCGAGGCAGAGATTTGGTGGAATTGGACCAGAGAAAGAGTTGGAAGAGACATCAAGCCTCTGTAATTTCGAGTTTAAGCCTAGTTTTTGTGGCAGAATTCCGGTGAATGAATTGTTCCATAGGAACAGGAATTCGAGCGCAGGAAGCTCACCGATTCCTCGAGGAACTTCTCCTGTAAACTTGTTGTTCATCAGACTCAACTCCATTAGGTTTTTCAAAGACGATACTTCCTCCGGTATGTCTCCTGAGAATTTGTTATTCGACAAGTCGAGAATCCTCACATATTGCAAATTGCCTATACTCTCCGGAATTTCACCGTACAGATTGTTTTTGAAAATTAACAATGTCTCGAGCTTCGTCAAGTTAGTTAAAGCGATAGGAAAGTCTCCAGAAAGATTAGCAGATGAAATATCAAGGAATGACAGATTTGACAACAAAGCAAACTGCGTTGGTAATTCGCCGGAGAAACCATTGTATCCGAATTCTAAACGCTGGAGCGACGTTATAAGCCCTAACTGAGCCGGAATTTCACCACCGAGGCTGTTTCCAGCAAGGTATAAGAACTTTAACCTTTGGAAACCACCATAACTTTTTGGAATTTCACCTTCGAAGTAGCTTCCACCGAGGTTGAGGTATTCCAGAAAGCTCAAACGGACAAACTCCTGAGGCAACGGCCCAGTGAAGCTGTTGCTGAAAGCATTAAAGAATGTAAGAAACTTCAACTTCGAAATCCCTGGCGGAAATGTTGAATTGAAAAGGTTATGATTGACATCAAGCGTCCGAAGAAAAGTCAGGCCGAAGATCGCCGTCGGTAGAGGTCCGGCAAAATTATTTACACTGATATTCAAATGGTGTAAGTGCGTTAAGTACTTGATGGCTTCGGGAATCGTGCCAGAGAGGTTCCGATTAGAGATGTCCAATGAACTGATCTGAAACGTTCTCGGATCACATTTGATACCGGACCAAGAACACCAAACATGTTCGAATCCAGGTTTAGATAACGAAGGCGATGGATCCCAGTCTTGAAACGTATTCAAAGGATCAACCAGAGATGATTTCAGAGACAGAAGTGAAACAAGTTGCAGAGGAAGGGTGGTGGCAGCGGAGGAAATAATAAGAGGTAGACAAAGGAGGAAGAAGAAGAAGAAGCACGTCGGACGGTGGTTGTTCATGGTGGTGATTAGGCCGGGGTTGTGGTTAGTGAGAAGAAGGGAAGTTAAATTTAAGGAAAACTAGACATGGAAGAGTTGGATTGTTGCTTTTTAGGAGTGCTTGCCTGGTGCAGAGGATGATGTTTCATGTTGATGATGATTGTTGGTTTTCTTTTTTCCTCGTTGAGTGGCTTTATCTGGTGATTGAAGATGATGAAGAGACCTTCTACTTCTACTTCTACTTCTACTTCTACAACTACTGGTACCACTGTACCAGGTAAGCTCTTATTCCTATTTTTGCTTAATTCTCGTGCCTTTACTTTTTCTTTTTCTTTATTTCTTTAATTGAAATTACATCTAATTCTTTAATTCCTTTGGTATGATGATCTAATAAATGAAGGTTGTGGTTTTAAATAAATAAATATGGTATTAGGGATATTTGGATTGTAGTGGTGGGTTTGAGTGATGGGATTTCATATTCAAAAACTTTACTTTTCATGATTATTCCTGGGCAGAGCATTCTTTTTTTCGTTTTTAGCTTTATCTTTGGCTGCAATTGCCAACAAACAGTTGCAGATGTTTCTCCCAGGATCCAAGAAAGTCCCTATTTTTTAATCTTTAACTACCCAAAGATCACATTTTATATTGTTTAACAAAATATTCCATACCCTAAAGTAAATTCTATTTGTTAATCATACTTGGATGGTTGGATATGCACCTTTTTTTTTAGATATGTTTTTTTTATCAAATAAATTCACTATATCATCCACAATCGACAATACATATGTAACTTTAATGGATTGATACATCATTAATTGTATAAAAAAAATTTATAATAAATTGAACTCTTCAAAGTTTAATGGATCATATTTTAATAATTATAAAGTTTTATTTTTATTGAAAAGTTCAATCACCATTAAATTCTATATCTATTGAATGTCATCATACATCTCATAATAGAAGAGTTTAATCAATTTAATGTCAATTAGACATGTTATCTTATTCAACTCTCTTGTTGAACTATACATGTATTGTGGAAGTTCTTGAAACAACATTATACTATTATTAGTTTTGGCCTTAAAGATGATGAGAATATAAATGTGTTGTGAATTTTTTTTTTTTATTTGTGTTTGTACAACCGCTCGAGAAAATATCGTCTGAACATATATGTGGTAGATATAATATGTACGCAAGATGTGTGACATGTATCTCTATAAAATGTGGTATTTTTAGAAAAGAAAGTTGATTTTTGAATAATGGTTGTGATATCTAAAAATGTTGATAACTAAATTTTTTTTTAAAAAATGTATATATGAATCAAATAAAACCATGTATTACAATTATATCATAAATAAGCATTTAGCTTGTAAAAAATGTTTGGTTGATTCGCGCGTTCGTATTTTTATTTTACATAAAGCAATTTTGTTTTGTTATTAAAAAGAATCGTTAAATTCATGAAATACTTTAAGTCAAATCATTTGAAATTTTAATTTCATTGATTCGTAAACTTCTTTGTAAGGAAGACAATCATTGCACCCTTGTTATATCCTAATATGTAATTCATTTTTTGTGTTCAAATTTAGTGAATGATCTCTCGTTACCAAATACTTACATGCCATATCTTAGTAAGTCCTTGAACAATGTTGATGCAAAAAATTAATGTTCTAAATAAGGATTTATAAGTGCCTTTCGTGAATGTAGAACTGTTATGTGAAAATGTTATATATGAGTTCCGTGGTATAGTTCAATATATTATATTTAATAAATCAATGTTCTGCTTATGTGACACATGAAATGACGGTAATTTTAAAATTAATTTGTTATCCTCTTCACTAAGAAGGTCGAGATCTAGAAGCTGAAATAGTTTTCAACCGTTCAAGGTGGGATGGGAGATTTACGACCGACTTGAATGGTTATTAAATAGGAATGTGAAGTGATTTGACCACAAGCCAAATTAGAATTTTGTACGGTTTTTGTGACTTGTAATTAGAGTTTACGGTCTTAAGCGAAAAGAAGAGTAAAGTCAAAATGATTTTGAAGTGTATTTAGTCCACATGAATTAGATAGTGTGGTGTTATGTTTGTCAATTGTAAAAATGTGTTATCTAAGTCTCACATCAGTTTTTATATTTTTTACAAATTTTACCTACAAATTAGGATGTGGTAATGGTTTTATCTATGATTTTTTTTTTCAATTTTTTTAAATAAAAATCATATTAAAATTTAAAATAACATAAAATTAAAAATTACATCTTAGAACTCCTAAAAATAAAAAATAACTTGAAATTAAAAATTACATTAAAAATCAAAAAAATCAAAAAAAAAAAGTGAAGAAAAAAACTAAATAAAAAACATAACATCGAAATTTCAATTGCGTTTTAGCTTATATTTTTCACGAATCGACGCATTCACCAGTTTAGCCACCTCCTGATCTTCGGGTTGATATACCTCACATCTTGCATCAACGACGGATATTTTGTGAGTCAGACGGTTTCAGTCATATGCTTCTCTAAAGTTATATTCAGTTGTGTCATTTGTATCATCATTTCCTCCGATCTAGTTGACCGTTCCGTCCCAACTGACGAAATTGACGATGTCACTTTTCCGTTTCCTTTTCCTCAAGCTTTTGCTTTGTCCCTTCCCATGGGACGAGGAGATGGGTGTATTTCTTCGATGTCGTCGTTATCATCATTAAGATGAATGGTACGTATATATAGTGGTAAATTGGTTAAAAAAAAGTTGTTGCCAAACATTCACAAGGTTCCCAACGTCCAAAAATTTCAAAAATTACCACCGGTAGAGACCCGCCGTCAGTACTTTACCGACGGTAAAAAAAGGTACAACATGTTGTTTACCGCCGGTGAAATAAGACACGTAAGCTTACCGACGGTGAAATCGTTACGTTACCGTTTAGCCTTAGGCATATACATATCGTTTAAATATCCCGAACGGTAAAAAAACGAAAATAATGGCACTTGAAAAAATTCACGAATATACCCTTAAGGGTATATAAGATTAGGTACCCGATGTCGTTTGGTTTTGCTACATGCGTACTGATAACTACCATTTACTTCCTAAAAACACTAAGGTTCGTCATCGATTAACCTAAAATAACACGGAGGTTCCAATGATTTCATAGAAATCGCAATTCAAAGAAAAAGACCAACTACACAAAAAAATGATTTCACCGACGCAATTCACAGAAAATGATTTCACAGACGTAATTCATAGAAATTGGGTTCGATATGGTCTAGAACATATAATCCTCCAACGTTTCTTTTGAATTGCATACAAAAATGTCTCACTTCACATAAATCCCCTGTTTTTTAGTAATGTACACCAAGTGTTTGTTTAAATGTCTTAATGAAGTTTTGTCTCAATATGGCCTAAAAGGCATTGGCTTTTATCGATAATGGGTGTTATTCTTAAGTTTTTTTTGGATATCTTGTCATACGCAATGCTTCACCAGCATTCGCAACCCTTTCTAGTTCTTGGATTCTCTTTCTTTTCTTGTATCTCCATTCTCATAATATCATCAATGCAAACACCACCAACACTATGATTCCACCACCTGTTCTGCCAACAATAACACACACTCTAGGCATGTTGTCTAATTTACTACCAGGGGTAGACTCTTTAGGTGATGCAGTAACTTCAGGTGTTGCAGGAGAAGGATGAGGACGAAATTCAACTACAATGGAGAAATGCCCTTGTTCATATGTCAAACATTGATTGTCTGATACTAAATCTGTGAAATTAACTTGACCATGTAGATCAAACCAGACACCCTTGGGATGCGAACCTAAACCATTAGGTTTTGATGTTATTTGTTCAAACTTTATTATGATGGCATCATTGGAAGCCTAAAACTCCAATTCGGGTAGATTAGTAGATGATAAGTCTGAACCATTATAAGCAAGAAACAAATACAGCAGCTTCATGAAGCAAATACTAAATTTCAAGATGAGTGTGAACTGCTGCAAAAAGAACAAGTCACCATCTTGCCCGATTCTAAATATGGTTTCAGTTTTAGCATAAGTATTGTTGAAGCTATGAAGTCAAGTTTTAATAATATGGTTTCAATTGTTTCTGATAATTTTCACTTAAAACCATTCATTCATTTCGGATAGGGCACAACAATGTGAATGTGTAATGTATTGTATATGCATTAACAATTAACAATTAGCAGGTTTGGTATTTGTTCATTTAAGACCAACTAAATGTAAATGAATGGTGAAATTTGGAATTGCAGGTTGATCTATTTTTCTACAGGAACCATAGGCAGAAAAGGGAAAGGAAGATGAGGGATAGGAATCTATGGTGGCACCTGTAGTAGCCCTGATTGCTGGCAGCGAGGGATTTGAATCTATGGCGGTGCCTGTAGTAGCCCCGGTTGAAAGTGTTGGTGCAACTGGATAGGAATGAAGCTTGTCTTGTTTTGAAATTCATATTTTAGGATATAGTATTGGTTGAGGAATTTTTGATGAATTAGGTTATCATCTTCTGATTTTTGTTTATTAATTTTCTTTTTTTATTTAAACCGAAAAACCAAGTTATTTTATTAAATATTTTAGTTAATCACATTTTGAATGTAATTGAGCTTTTTTATGTGGTTGTTAAGCGGTATATGTGTTATTTAATATAAGGTAAACAAAAAAACCAAGTTATTTTACCCCTGAGGGTTATTTAGTCCTGGCGTTTGTTCCCTGGATCTGCTGGCTATATAGTTACAGTGTTTATGGATCTCTAATTGCATTTACATTGTTAATTCCTTAAGCATGATGTATTTTACCTACAATTGACCATTGTACCCCTGATGCAATTTAGAGGCGTTTCGGGCCTAGTTTGCTGTTATTGATGAAGTCATAAGTTACCTACATATATGGTTGTGTTATCATTACTTCCAATCTTGGTTAAATGCTAAATTATCGAAACTAAGAGAATGTAAGCAAACAATAGTACATTGCTATTTCATAAATTCTTCCAAAGTATAAATAATTAAATACGTTGCTAATTTTGAAT